CCACTCTTTAGCTCCTGGTTTGCTGCAAGTTGGTGTGGATAAGGGATCCAAAATTTAGAGCCCAAGGGCATAGGTCTCCACTCAAGAAACGCAGCTTCCTACCAATACATGTTACTGGACCTCTTTAAGCCTCTAGAAGTATGGAAAAATACATAACTAGAACGTTGATGACTTTACTTTCTGATAGTTAATCTTGTGAATTTGACAGGATTTAGAACCACGTGAGAGCAAACCTCTGCATGTGGGGATTTTTGGGTCCTTCAAGGTTGGGAGAGCGATCCTAAATGTGGGTGGTACCACAGCATGGTAGGGACCGAATAAGGAGGCAGCATGCTGGCTGAAGACCAATGTTCACCAATCTTTGCCTCCTGACTGTGGGTGCTATGTGGCCAGCTACCTCACTCTCTTGCCACCGTGTTTTCCCCTCGATGATGAATGGTATGCCTGACCTGGGAGGCAAAAGAAAACTCTCCTTTCTTTGATTGCTTTGGTCAAGCATTTGATTACAGCAAAAAGAAAAGTAGCTCTCTAGTGCACCCGGCATGCTGCTATGCACAAATGTTTTCCATCCGTGCCTGTGAGATGTGAGAATTTTAATAAATACATATGTAAAGCTTTAACTAAAATCGTGTCTGTGATGGAAACACTGCTGTAAACAAAGTAACATGGGCTTTGTTATCAGAGGAACCTTGATTCTAACCTTAGCCCTATGACCCCAGTAGGCTTTCTTTTCATCATGAAGTGGTGGTATACACATCACAGAGGAGACAAGAAGATAACATAATATGTGGAAGTGATACCACGGTACCTGCCATTCTGGACATAGTAGACACCGATGATTCATTTCTGACCATTAGCCCAAGAACTGGTGTGAACCTATGTGGCCGTGCAGGCTTGTAATCCCAGCACTTTGGAAGCTGAGACGGGAGGAATGTAAATTTGAATCCAGCCTGGACTATGAAGTGAGAGCCTATTTCAGAAACAATGAGGAAAGAGAGGAAGACAGGAGGGAAAGAAAGAGAGAGGGAGATGTGTAGAAGTTAATTGAATAGGATAACACAAAAATAATTCCAACATGAATTGGTTCTAATGGACTACATTGGTGTGTCTGTTTCAACACAACCTTCCACATAAATTTCAATACAGGGAACAACACATATGGAGAGGACCAATTGGTTTGAGATTTGGAAATACTCTTTGAAAATACTAAAATACGTTCTTCCTTCGAAGTCCTAATAAAAGTTAATATTAAGAATAATGTATTTTTGTCAGAGCATTAAGCTTTCGCATTATAGAAGAGGCAGATTAATTCAGGTTAGTTATTATAAACAAAGATAATCTAGTTTCAAATAGTCACAAGTTCATTATTTCAAACATTTTAAAGCTTTTCTCAAAATTGATTGCACGCTCTTGTTTCCAATGGTTAAACTTCCTTGCCTTTTTAATACTAATCCAATAGAAATTTGGTTTTTGCAAGCTGTTGAAAGACATGCATCCCTTTCATGGGCTCCAGGTCTATGGTTATGTGCTCTTGAAGAGTTATGTCTAGGTATGTATGTCAAATTTTAACTTACATATTGCAATTGCTTGCTTTAATAAATTACAAAATCATTAGACTCCTTAATTAAGCCGTACTTTAATGGTACAGTGGCCACCTCTGCCTTACTGGGCAGTGGTAGAATTTTTTGCTTTATCTTTCCTGTGTTAAAAGATGAATAAATTAATCCAGGACACCCCCATTTTCAAATAAATCCATGACTTCTTTTGGGGAACAAATCAATTTTTCAGTAATCTTAAAATATGACCCCCCCACAATGCTTTACCATTAGACTTTGATACAAGGAGGAATTCAGAGGCCTTTTATGTTTTTCATGATAATCTAGAATTTTTATTTGATTCCAGGTAATTTTAGACAATAGACATGATGAACTGTTTTCTTTTGAATAAATAACAATTAAATTACATCAATGAAATAAAATATACTGTAGGCTTAATACATTGTAAATATTACAGAAGTACTACTTTGCTATAGTAATTTAATGACTGAAGCTACATTTAAATAACAATCTTACCAGTACTTGTATACAAAATATTATACAGATTACTGACAAAGACATCACAGCAGTTTCAAGGATGCTACCAGCTTAACAAACATCTAACAGTACAATGCACTTTAAGAGGAAAAGGATGTACCATTTACAGAGACAATAGGGAGATACATTTTCCACTTGAAACACTGGAAATGAGAATCAAGATAATCTGTATCTCGTTTCCTATTTTTACAAGAAAAGATTTTCTCCCTTGGGGACTCTGATCCCCAGGACCTAGAGTTTAGTAAGTTTCCACAAAGAAAGCTTTTTCAAGATACCACAGCAATGGAAAGAAACTCTGTCATCTGAAAACCACGGCTTCAACACCTGACTGCTTTGTAAAACCTATGTACATACATTCAGTCCAAATCAGTAGATAGAATGTTTTTTTTCTTTTTGTATATTACAATAGGTGCGTTAACGTTTTATCAGAAGGCCAGCGCCAAGCGATTGTGAATGGCCACTTAGGAGATCTTAAAATATTATACAAACATACAGTTAAGAGGATGAGAAATCTAATTTTTTTCGCATGACGTTAGTGATCTTGGTTATGGATATGAAATGGCGGAAATTAATGAATGGAACAGTAACCAGAGACCTAGTCCTCATCTGGTAGTTAAGCCTATTTCCTGCAGAGTGGGATTAGGCAACAAAAGTTTTTTTTTTGACATTTGATACCAGCTAAGCCTGACAGTCAGTATCAGGGAGCTTGGGAGTCACCTGTCACAGGCAAATGTCCAAGCTGCCCAGATTCATGCTTCTTTTACACAGGTTTAATACATAGTGGAAAACAGGGGTCCTTGGCGATAGCTTTTCTTGTTTAAATGATGCTATTAGTTCAGGACTCAGTCTTTATTCTGGAGAAGTCCATCAGTTAGGGAGTTGACTCCCTTTGAAAGTGAGAGGAAAGGCAGAACGCATGATCAGGATGAATGTCAGAGGAAAGCAGATAACCCTGATGCCAGAGCATATAAGCGATTCAACTGAAATTAATGAATCTAATTAAGGGGCTGGTAAATGAATGATTCTAATGAATGTAATTCTAATGACTGTATCCACTAGGGAGAATGTTTTGGTCGCTAGAGTTAGGAAATGATAGAGGAAACACCAAAGTGGATCCAACTAATTTGAAGTATTTTTTTAAATGAAGGTAGTTTAATGCGCACATGATGATAGTTCACAGATATTTCTTAGAGTATCAATAAGCACCAAGTTTAGTGCTATCAGCCCCATTGTCCCTTAGCTTATTATATACGAGTTAGGTCTTAAAAGTTCAATACACTATAAAATCTACCACTAAAAATGGCATTTGCACGAACACAGTTTTAAAAGTGAATCTTGGAATTTTTTTTAATACCTATACTCAGAATTTCTACCAGGTCTTTGTATCTATGAGAAGAGGCCGTAATGCCTGAAGACATGAAGATTGATATTCAGGTTGATGTAGGACAAGTCTGGCAATTCCTAGCCCCTGGTGATAGTCTGTCAATACTCTTCTCTATGGAGTTACTAATCCTCCTGAATCCTCATCTGTGCGCACAGAAGGAAATCAAGAGGCTCAGAAGGCAAATACATCCCAGTCTGATCCTCAGGTCACATCTGTCTTACTATCGATTACAAGAAGGGGTACTGCCCCTTGAGGCTGGAAACCCCAAACACTAGAAATCACAGGAAGATGCTAGTTCTCTGCTTCATGCTATGGCGTCTTTCAGGACTGGTGAGAATCTATACAAGGAGGAGAGACTCTAAGTAGAACTTATCAGGACCAAATGGCTTTTTCAAAGCAATAACTCTCCTTACTGGAAAAGGGCCCAATTCTGAGCACCTCAGCAGAGGAGCCAATCAGAAGCTAGCCACCCTCATTTCTATGCTTTTCGGCAAGTGGAAGCACTGACTATTCCTTACGCAAAAGGCTGACCTAAACGAAGCCAGGCACAGGGCTGTCGCAAGATGTTTGCTACCCTTTTGCCAGACCACCAACCTTCTCACCCTCTGAAATCTAATGGCCTGGACCGGGTAACGGGCACGCTGTGTGCAGTTCTGCTTAGCCTGGGAACTCACTGCCGCATGCTCCACTGATGCTTGTTCCTCTTCGGAGTTTTGTAAAGTCTTAGAACCACCTTCCTTTTATTGATTTTCACTTCCATGAACTTGGCCCTACTAGGTGCTCACCATCCCCCACACTCGCATGTCCCTGCAAGAATCCTCTACGTTTTTGCACCTCTTACAGATTACTCTTTGCTGAAGGCTGGCCTTACGGAATGCCTACAGGTCATTAGAACACTAAACCCAGTCACTTAGGTGGGAAGATTTTCCTGGAAGGCTTTAGTTAGGATTTGTACAGCCACGGTTTCATGAAGAACTTGGTTTTAGGACCTGGATTCGTGTGCAAGAGTGTAGCAAGTGGTACAGTTCACACTTGGTCGGTTTTCTCGTGTTATGACATTGCTGTAATAGTTACAAGATAGAACACACACACACACACATTTACAATCACACTCAAATGGTACAATTCCACTGAATCAGACAATACTTCTTCTGAATTAAAAAGAAGAAGAAGAAGAAGTGTTTTGGCCACCCAGGCCTGAAATCGACTTAAATCTGGAAGGTCACTGTGCAATAGACTTGGTGCAGACAGCAACCGCACAGTAGTGACAGTGTACATCAGCGCTGACACATGCTGGCTGAAGAGGTCCGGTGAAAGCTAACAACGCAAGGATGCCAGCGACGTCAGCCTTAAAAAGTCAATACGCTTTTGCTTCTCCATTTTGATTATAATCCATTACCCAGCTCAAGAGCTGTGTTCCAGAAGATAGGAAATGTCCTCATGGCAATTCAGGCCTAACACGGTTTATGTCTCCAGGAATTCTGCTCAATACTTTGGATAGTCTTCAAATTCTTCTTGTTGTTTTAACCAAAAAAAAACAAAAACAAAAACAAAAACAAACAAACAAAAAAAAACCCTTTATGGTTATTTCTGTGTTTTCTTTAGATATGAATACTGGAAGAAATACTAAGGTTTCTAAATGCGTATCATGGACAACCATTCCATCTAAACAGGGGTCACGCTGCTACATGCCCATCGAGTACGACATTGTTCTTATGAAGGTCTACCTTCTGGTTTTGCTAAGCTAGACAAAGTGACACAGTAAACACTGATACGCAACTCACAGGACATAAAACAGTTTACAAAGTATCTCTATTGTAGCACTGTACCTATTGTAAAAATGCACTTTTTAGTACTAGGGACAGACACATACCACATTATCATGAAAGTTGGGGTTACAAAGGCATTACTCATTTTGTGGTGTTTCTCTACAGATACTTAGACTTCAGATTTTGTAGTCTAAGGTTTCCCTTCTATTTCAGAGACTTGGAAGGACTGTTGAGCAACTGAAGCAACAGGCTTTCTTCATTGTAAACCCCTGGAGAATGGGATTTAAGTACCTAAACTACTAAAATGTCAGCAAACTGAAAAAAAGCACAGTGACAGTCACTATTTACTAAACATGGTAAATTTTAAAAAAAAATAGACCACAGACTTCTAAATTTTAAGCTAAAGAGAAAGAAAGAATTTCCTTTTCTGTGCAGCCATGAAAGCAGCAGGCTCACAGAGCCTCGGCAGACGTGTCTGTGGACACAGACATGGTCACCTTGGCGATCTTAACCGTGCTCTTGATGCAGCTTTCCGCGGCCCTGTGCATGCTGGCTGTGTTATTGGCGTGCTTGTGCAGGCAGTCCGAGTCCCCCATGCTGTTATCTAGAGGCTGTGCGGTGCCTTCACACGAAGGGAACATGCTGCGGAAAGCGTGTCTCAGGTCCTTGCTCCTCAGAGCATAGATGATGGGGTTCACGGTGGAGTTCAGCAGGCAGAGCATGCTACAGAAGGCAAACACTGTCTTGATGAGCTTATTCATCTTCCCAAAGACATCATACACCATGATCGCAAGCAGGGGGCCCCAGCAGATGATCAACACCACCAGAATCAGGACCAGGGTTTTGGCCAGCCTAATGTCCATGCGGGCTTGGTCGGGCCGGGTCACCTGCACCTTGCCATCTTCTGACGTGTGGATGATGATGCTCTTCTGGGTTCCACGTTGGATCATGCGGACTGCATGGCTGTGAGCCTTCCAGAGAATGTACATGTATGCATACACAATGAACAGCAACAGCACGCTGGTGACTCCGATCCAGAACATCAGGTAGGTTTCATCAATGAGTGGGAAGATGTCCGAGCAGACAGATTGCAGCTTCTTGCAGTTCCAGCCAAGGAGAGGCAACACGGCAATTACTATCGCAATAGTCCACATCAGGCAGAAGGCCACTACGGCCTTGGGCCTAGTCACGATCCTCTTATAGGCCAGAGGCCTGTGAATGGATATGTACCTGTCGATGGCTGTGAGGAAGAGGCTGCCCACAGAGGCTGTGAAGGAGGCCGTGACCCCACCCAGTTTGAACAGAAACACATTGGGGCTGTCTTTACGGTGGAATACATGGAAGTCAACAAAGCTGTAGACAAAAATGACGCTGCCCAGGAGGTCAGCCACGGCCAGACTGCCAATGAAGTGGTAGGAAGGCCTGCATCGGAGACTGCGGGAATGCAGGATGACACACAGCACCAGCAGGTTCTCCAGAACAGTGAAGGTGCCCAGTGTGAGGGACAGAACAGCAATGGCCAGCTGCTGGCTAGGGTTCAGGATCATAAAGCACTCCATGTCCATAAAGTTCTCTCCACACTGGATGTTTTCCTCATTCTCCTTGTACGAAGAGAGAGACTTGTTGTAGAACTCTGTAATGTTGGTGGCGTCTACCACGGGGACCAACTGGGAGTTGTCTCCTGCGGTCATCTTTTCTTGGAAGGGACTACCCCGGAAGGAAGTCAGAGGGAATTTCTGCGGGAAGTATCCTAGTTTGGATGCCATGTCTCCTTTGATGTCTTCGTACTGAATGTCATTGGAGCCCACGTAGAGGAGGTCTGTGGTGATGGTGCGGAAGGTGGTGTCTGCAAGGCCATCCAGAATGGACTTCATAACCTCAGACTTCGATCAGGCCAGACTCACAGTGATGGAGAAAGGGGTGCCAGAAAGGAACCCTAGTAAGAGGGAAAACAGAGAAGCTGAGTGGTCAGAAAAGCAGGAAGGTAAGAAACAGAAGCACTGGGCACCATAAACCACCATCACCTCTAAACACAGAGGTTCAGTCAACACAATGAGTCAGCTCAGAGAAGAACTCCCTGCCCCACAAAAGTAAAACAAAAACTACAAGGATATGGAGAGCCACACATCAGACCCGTGATTGTTCTCATTTCTTAGCAAAGTCAGTTGGTGCTGCATGAACCTGCACAGTCAAATAAACCAAGATCAATGGAAGAAACTTCACTGTGCATGTCATGGGAAGCGTTGGCCAGGAGGCTTCTGCTATCAAGTATACAGCCATCTGTGGGGAAGTGGCTGGAGGCAGCAAGCTCACAGCACAAAATCCCTGAAGGACAGGTGAGACTAAACAGGCAAGCCAAGCAAAGAACACGACAGCACAGAATCAAGGGCTGAGCTGTGTAGTTTAACTGTAAAGGAGGATGTTTAGGACAGCCAGAGAGAGCTCCATACCACAGTGGAAAGATGCTCTCCAGCAGGCATGATTCCTCACCCAGAGCAAGGGAGACTGGGATCAAGGCATGGCTGATATGAACTTATAAAAGATGTCTATGCCAATCAGTTAAATGTCACGAAGGTTTGCATCAAGGCTTATGGAATCCCAGGGTTAACACGAGGAAGGTGGTGGTGATGAATGGCACTTCAGGAAAGCACCCCTCGGCGTGCTGACACGAGGGACAGGAGAGAGCCATGGTGGTGCCCAGTGGTTTCCTAGAAGACTGTGCTGGAAATGGGGATGACTCATACAATGTGCCTTTCACCTCTACGTTAAGCAATTTGATGTCATTTTCAACATAAATAGCAAGAGAACTGATCTCGTTATTTATAAATATTTTAAAGATGGCTATTTATCTCTTTAGTTTATAAAATTGCTACAAATACGGGATGATACACATGACAATTAAATAACCACAAATTTCAACATTTTACTTATCAATTGTCCTTTGTCGTTTCACATATAACACATTTGAGAAAGCTTATTATCTCCTGAAACAAAATTTAAAACCTGTCTTTGTGTTAAAATACAGAGAGCCTATTTGTCACAATAGCTAAGTCATTAATGCACAATCCATTCCATAAAGGATAGCGCGCCATGGCACACCATGCACTGTGCCAGACACTTACAGATCAAGCCCACGGGGACCCTGACATCTAGCAGGGCAGATGGCCAGCTACCTCAGCACTTACTGGCAAGGGTGGCTGCCCTGCAGATGGCAGAACTCTGGAGCATTAGCTCAGCACAGCAAAAGGGACTTCCCCAAGGAAGTCATATGCATATGCTGAGCATCTAGGATGAGTGTGGGAGGGGACAGGATGCCAAGATGAGGACTTTTTAAATTAATATTCTGGGTTTCACGATTTTTCAAAAGCAACCTGGGGTAGGCATGAAGTGGTGGATGTGGCCCTCGTTCCACACTCGGCTGCCTCCAAATCCAAGCCTTACCACTGCTTACCAGGGTCAGATCACAAGCCCCCCCCCCCCCCCCCCCCCCCGCCGTGTAGCTTTCCTAATCCCAGCCCTGATAATGCTACACAGCTGCTGGAGGTATCTTCAGAAACAGATGAAGGTTCTATGACTCTCATTTCAACCACTCTGCCCCAAAGACCAAACACAGCCTCAACCCAAGCTCCCCTTCCAGGCTCACACAACTCAGACGAGCTTCTGGACTCCCTGAGAACATTCCACCTCCGTCCACCATCCATCGGCATGCTTCCTGGGTCAAGCTCAGCACAAAACCTTCTGCTATCCAACCCTCGTCCTTTCACCCTGCCTCTCCTCAGCTTGGTCTCCCCATTTGGGCTGTACCACACAGAGTTTGGTCACACAACACTTGCTCGGTGCTGTGGTTTTCACTGTCCCAAATTCTCTGCCGGAACACTCTTTACCTCCGCTTGTGGGAGACCCCTTACCCTTACCAATTTGCTGTTTCTAATTCCCTTAGCTCACTGATTCCCATACTCAGATGAAGCCCACGTTTGGGGCTTCCAGAATCCTGAGACGGTTCCATCAACAGCATTTACCTAGTCTGCTTCTTGTTCTTAAGCTCCAGAGAAGGCTCAATGAGGACCACACTGGGCAACTTATCTGTCTTAGTATTTAACTCGTAACTCAATGCACAGCAGAGAGCAGCTGAAAATTGAGTTGTATGACTGATTTTATTTTCTTCAAATAGAGTCAGAGCAGCTCTTTTCTGCCTAAAATAAGTAAAGGAATCTCTCCAGTGAAACAGGAAAGGCACATGCATGTCACCAGAATCAAGATTTCTCGCCTAATAAGCCAATCTACATGTGCTCAAAATAGAGTTCTGTTTTGGTGAGGGTTATCAGTGTTCTAATTGCGTGTGTGCATGTGTGTGTGTGTGTGCACGCGCACATTTACCACCTCTTTACTTTTTCAGAAAACATTTGCATGCACTGTATAGCTTCCCGTTTATAAGTGCACACCAGAAAGGTCTGGTAGATGAATGTGACCAGCCCCCTAGTGACAGGAGGCTTGGAGATTTTACCGTCTTTTGTTACTGCAGATAATGTCGCAATGAATTAATGCCAACCATCACTTTCTTTACCACATTGTTTAGGCTATTGTGAGCAATCTTTCTAGTCATCTTAACTCTTACCTTGGACTCATTTGATACCACCTCCTTCTTGGCCTCTATAATCAGGTGTACCTCTTAAGTGTCCCTAATCCCCCCCCATTTCTAAGCACACAGAAAAAGCTTATTATGGGCAGGAGGCTTTTACATGTATCAACTCATTTTACTTCTACAAAGGCTTATGAGGCAATTTTTGCATGAAAGGCACAGAGAAGGTAAATAATATACCATTAACGCATCTAGTAGGTGGTAGGGCTGGGGCTGAGCCTGGGTGTGGAGCTCAGTTCAAGTGCTGAAAGTAATCAGAAGAGGCACACTGGATGCTGTGAGTCTAGAGTTTCTGCTTTTAACCATCATGGTACACTATCTAAGCCAAGACAGGGATCGATTGCCCCTCAGTTTCCCTACTGATTCCAACCGGCAAAGCCCTAGTCTATGCAGAGAACACTGCTATAGGAATTGCCAGACAGCGGGGCCATTAAGTCACCCACTCTCAAGCAGTGGTTCTAGGCCTTAGTGTTTCATCTACAAGCTAAGGATAACAAGGACGATAATGAAGCCTAAATCACGGATCTGTTCGGAAAACTGACTCCAGATAAATCCTACTTAGGCCTGGCACTAAAATAAGTCTTCAATAAACATTACTGTCCTCACCACCCAGTGCCACCAATGGCCCAGCACCATATACTACATACTAACTGTATTTCAAGTATATGTAATATATACTAATTACTACATTATATACTAATTATTTTTCAAGAAAATGCATTATCTTAATTCACTTACAGGCTGCTTATTCAGTTGTATTAGAACCTAAGCCAAGACGTCGAGGAGGAGCTCTGATGGCATGCCAACTGCATTGAGGCACTGAGGGGCTTTACCTACATTCTGTCAGTAAGCGAGTGCAGAGGCTTCCAGGCACGGTTCTTACCTGACTCGCCAGGCAAGGAGGCAGCTAGATACTTAGTCAATTGTCCAGAACACAAATGGGAACCCTTGTTCCAAGGACTCCAGAATCTCCACCATAACATTATGTCTGTTTTAAGGTTTAACAGGAACTAAATTAAAGCTATTTTGCATCTTATATTCAAATCTTATCTGTTTAAACTGTCAACGAAGGCATTGTAATGGTGATTAATGACAGCTCCTAATAAATCACCATTTCCTGCCCCAGACCCACCAGATAAATCTGCCCACTGGCACGACACCAAGGGCTGAAACTGTGCAGCACTGGAGAGAATCAAGACTTCTCAGGGATGGACAAGGGATGTGAGCTAGAAAAATGCCCCGGGATTTACTGTATTTATGATCGCCGCATATGACCATGATGCCTATGGCAACGCAGCCAAACACTTTCATTCTGGCAATGGTATGTCATATCTAGGCCAGAGACTGGTGGTTACAAGCTGTCATGCCTGTCTAATATATGTCAGAGAAGAGTTTAAAATAAATGAACTTTGTAAATTTTAGAACGCAAAACACCACTGTGTATTGGCTATTGCAGACTATTGATGAGAAACACTGGTTGTTGTTTTTTTTTCTTTTCTTCTGCCCTTTTTTTGCACCTTTAGAAGTCTTTTATTCATTTCTGCACTAGGATTATTGGAGTAATTTCCACCTTATTATTTTTGCACGGAGAGTTTTCTTTGAGGGTTCATTAGTAATATAGTTTAGACTTTGGGGGGTGAAGCTGCCGTTAATTTTGTTTTTGTTTGCTAATGGGAAAATCATAATTGGAAATTCTAACAAGATGTGTAGATGTGCCTATTAAAGAAGCAGTTGGGGCTTATTACAGTGATAGTGAAGGAACTGAATGACAGCTAAGGTTTCCTAACAACTTAATATAGAAATCATGCCTTTATAGTAACAGTAATAAAAATTTTTAAGTGTGCTGAATCTATTATTTTAGGTTCTTAGGTTAGTCCCATCTGTTCTTGTCCCGTCTCTTTGAGCATACACCTGCGCTTCTCCCTCCTCCCCCAGAAAAAAAAAAACGCATTATCAACATGCAGTGGTAGCGGTAAAAGAATTTTATGAGGATGGTCATGGCATAGAGTCTTTTAAAAATATTTATCCAGGGTCCATATCCTTATTTCTATAACTACTGAATGTATAAAGCTCCCATGTGTGAAGCTGGCTGTGGGGGTTTTTGCTTGCAATCCTGGCACTCAGGTGGCTGAAACAGGTGAGTCATGACTCCAACCCAAGCTGCCGCAGTAGGGACCTGTTACTAACAACAGAAGCTGGCCATGCTTCTGATTAGATGGAGTGTGGAATAAGCTTAAAAGCAAGACCTCGAGATTCTGTCTATGTTATTTAACACCAGTTCCTTTGGAGAAAGTATT